AACATGAATTGGGCTACACTCCTGTTCATTACAAGAGGTGAGGATTACAATGCCACACCATATCAAAGTTTTGAGAGGCTGGGCTTACAGTGAATATTTCAGAATTGATATAATTTATTGATCATATTTTTAATGTGTTCTGCCTCTGAAGTCATAATTCTTTTATTTATTTATTTATTTTTATTTAATTGTTGTTCAAGTACAGTTGTCTCCATTTTACTCCCTCCATTGCCCCCCTACTCCAGCCATCCCTACTCCCCACCCTTGATCCTACCCCTCTTTGGTTTTGTCCATGTGTCCTTTGTACATTTTCCTGAAAACCTTTCCTCTTTTTCCCCCCATTACCCCTCCCACCTCCCTCTGGTTACTGTCAGTATGTTCTCAATTTCAGTGTCTTTGATTATATTTTGCTTGCTTGCTTGTTTTGTTGATCAGGTTCCACTTATAGGTGAGATCATATGGCATTTGTCTTTCACCACCACCTGGCTTACTTCACTTAGCATAATGCTCTCCAGTTCCATCCATGCTGTCTCGAAGGGTAGGAGCTCCCTCTTTCTTTGTGCTGCATAGTATTCCATCATGTAGATGTACCATAGTCTTTTGATCCATTCATTTACTGATGGGCACTTAGGTTGCTTCCAACACTTGCCTATTGTGCTGCTGTGAACATTGGAGTGCATGGGTTCTTTCGAATTGGTGTTTCAGGGTTCTTAGGGTATAATCCCAGCAGTGGAATTGCCGGGTCATCAGGCAGTTCCGTTTTTAGTTTTCTGAGGAAATTCCATACTGTTTTCCACAGTGGCTGTTCCAGTCTGCATTCCCACCAACAGTGCACTAGGGTTCTCTTTTCTCTACATCCTCTCCAACACTTGTTAATTTGTTTATGATGGCCATTTTGACTGGTGTGAAGTGGTATCTCATTGTGGTTTTATGAAGTCCTAATTCTTAGATCACAAAGTATTACATTCAGAAATCAAACGAATTTAAGTTTTGAAATGAACAAGTAAAAATGCTACGTTTGCTGTCCTGCCTCATTTTTAAAATATGCAAATTAAAAAGGGTCAAAGAAAACATTGATCCACCTGTAAAAGGGTTGAATATATGTGAATTGCTAAACTTGTGAAGATACCTAGGCAATAATGTATGTTAAGGGGAGTAATTGGCAAGGGTAGACATGCTCCATTTCTTTCCTATAGTTATAACTACATTTTTCTTCTGCCTTATGCTGTCTTCCAGTTTTCCTTTTCATAATAACTCTTACGTTGAGAGAATGAGCATACTGAAGAACAAGAGTCGTGAGGGAGTACAGTTCTTGAGGATGGAGTCTGAATTTTCCCCTCCCTTAGAAGTCCTCTTAACTGCATGTGCTCTTCTATGTGTGCTGCATCCCTCAGTACATGTTGTGAACCTGCTGCATGACACCTGAGAGAACTACTATGCACCATGGGCTAACATGGGAAAAAGGCTCTGTGCTAGAATAGAATTTTCTCTTTCTTGTTTATTTAAAAATGCACTCTTTGTCAAGATCTCTCTGGATGAAAAAAGGAGCCCCTCCAAATATCCATCTAAGGTACCTGTCTACAAAGAACTGAGTATTTTTTAGCTCTTATTTTCTGGTACACAGTATGATTGTTCACTGTGAGAATAAAGTCAGAGTAGTTCATGATATCTGCTTTTTTAAGAACACTGTTTTTCTTTTAATAAACATTTTTTCATCTTTAATGTGCATGTTTTAAATGTCAGTTCCTAAAATTTCATCCTGTTTAGGTTTGCACATTTCTAGGTTGAAAACTACACCTGAATTAGGGGTTGGGAACAGAGGTAGGGCCGGGACTGCTTGGTTTCTTTTTAATGATGACCTTGGGGAACTTTGGCTCTTCTCTGTCTGTCCAACCCAGCAGGATCTAGCTAGTCTTTATTGTTTCACTGTGTACCAGGCCCTAGCTAGGCAATTTTAGATAATCTTTGCATTTCTACTAACAAAGCTGGCACCTAAGTATAAGGATTTCATGTTTCTAGTAGAGAAGCTTAGGGATTTTAAGAACTTACCTGAGAACATGGTTCATGAATGGCTGAGCTGGGATTCAACCTAGTTCTTCTACTTACAAAGTGCATGCTCTTTCAATTAGAACATGAGACATACAGCCCTTTTATTTATTTTCTTTTTAAATATATTTTATTGATTATGCTATTACAGTTGTCCCATTTTCTCCTCCCCTTTATTCTCCTCTGCCCTGTACCCTCCCCCCCACCATCATTCCCCCAACTCAGTTGATGTCCATGGGTCATACATATAAGTTCTTCAGCTTCTTCATTTCCCATACTATTCTTAACCTCCCCCTGCCTATTTTGTATGTACCATTTATGCTTCTTATTCCCTGTACCTTTTCCCCATCCTCCCACCCCCTGCTGATAACCCTCCATGTGATCTCTATTTCTGTGAATCTGTTACTGTTATAGTTATTTGCTTAGTTCATTTTTGGTTTTGGTTTTGGTTTTGTTCTTTTAGGTTCAGCTGTTAGTTGTGTTTGTTGTCACTTCACTGTTTGTATTTTTGTTCTTTTTTTTAGATAAGACCCTTTAACATTTCATATATAAGGGCTTGGTGATGATCAACTCCTTTAAATTGACCTTTGGGAAGCACTGTATCTGCCTTTCCACTCTAGATGATAGCTTTGCTGGAAAGAGTAATCTTGGATGTAGGTCCTTGCCTGTCATGACTTCAAATACTTCTTTCTTTTTGAGAAATCAGCTGATAGTTTTATGGGAACTCCTTTGGAGGTAACTGTCTCCTTTTCTCTTACTGCTTTTAAGATTCTCTCCTTATTTTTAATCTTGGGCAATGTAAATATGACGTGCCTTGGTGTGTGCTTCCTTGGGTCCAACTTTTTTGGGACTCTCTGAGCTTCCTAGACTTCCTGGAAGTCTATTTCCTTTACCAGATTGGGGAAGTTCTCCTTCATTATTTTTTCAAATAAGTTTTCAATTTCTTGCTCCTCCTCTTCTCTTTCTGGCACCCCTAGGATTCAGATGTTGGAATGTTTAAAGTTGTCCCAGAGGTTCCTAAACCTCTCCTCATTTTTTTGAATTCTTTTTTCTTCGTTCTATTCTGGTTGAATGCTTATTTTTTTTTTCTTGTGCTCCAAACCGTTGATCTGAGTCCTGGTTTCCTTCCTGTCACTGTTGGTTCCCTGTACATTTTCCTTTATTTCACTTATCATAGCCTTCACTTTTTCCTCTATTTTGCAACCATACTCAAACATTTCTGTGAGCATCCTGATTCCCAATGTTTTGAACTCTGTGTCTGATAGGTTGGCTATCTCTTCATTGCTTAATTGTATTCTTTTTGGAGCTTTGATCTGTTCTTTCATTTGGGGCATATTTTTTTTGTCTTGGTGTGCCTGTTATATAGTAAGGGGCAAGGCCTTAGGTATTTGCCAGGGCTGGGCAACCCACATTGTGGAACTGTGGCACTGTGTGTGGGGGAGGGGTCTGAGAGGGTACAATGCCACTTGCTCAGCTGTCAGCTGGCTTTCAGTCACTTCCTCCGCTACTCACAAGCAAATTGGGCCCTTCTGGTGCTGATACCCAGGTAAGTGGTTTTGTGACATTCTAAGACCCTGTAAGTCTCTTTAATGACCTCTCCTGTGAGGCTGGGATTTTCTCCTACCACTTCAACACCCACTGGTTTTTTGGCCCAGATGTTTTGAGGCTTAATTTCCCCTCACTGGATCCCTGGGTTGTGTTGTTTGTCTTGCTCCCCAGTTGTTTCTCCTGGTTTATCCATACGCAGATGTGGGACTGCCCTATCTGCCAACTGCTGCCTTGCTATGAGTCCTCTCCACCCCGGCTGCTGGCCTCCATCCCTCCTACCAGTCTGGATGAATATTTTTCCTTTAACTCCTTGGTTTTCGGACTTCCATACAGTTCTATTTTCTGGTAGTTCTGGTTATTTTTTAATTTTAAATTTGTTGTTGACCTTCTTTTGGTTGTGCTAGGAGGCATAGTATATCTATCTATGCCTCCATCTTGGCCAGAAGTTCCTAAATACCCATTCAGCCCTTTTAAACAATAGTTGGCTAATACAAGGTACAGCAGAAGATGCCTGCTTGAGTGTGGTTGGTAGGGTAATAATATGGGTGTAATAATTTATAGTTTTAATTTGAACATTTCACTTAAAATGTCATACAGTGTGCTTGAGTATGATATTATTACACAGAATTACATGCTTATGATTTTGTAATAAAACAGGGGTGTTATTTGTGCCAGACCCTGTTATTTTCCCAAGAAGCACGTTATAAGTAGTATTTAAGTAGGAAGAAAATACAGGAATGGAAAAAAAATGCCAAAACCTTCATAGTTGCTGTCATTTTCAATAATTCTGTGATGAACAGGTGTCGCCTAATTTATTTTTAAAACTAAATGGTCCTAAAAAAATAACAATTAGTCTTCATGGCCCTATAGTTCTACCTAATTCTGAGCTAAATAGACTTCTGTTATTTTTTGTTCTGGAAACTTAATGATCAATTGTTAGTGTATATGGAGAAATCCATTCCTGATTTCTAAATAACCAATTTTATTTTTTTTGAAGATTTTATGTATTTATTTTTAGACAGAGGGAATGGGAGAGAAACAGGGGGAGAAATACCAATGTGTGGCTGCCTCTCATGTGCCCCACACTGGGGACCTGGTCTGCAACCCAGGCATGTTCCCTAGACTTGGAATTGAACCACTGACCCTTTGGTTCTCAGACTGGCATTCAATCTACTGAACAACACCAGCCAGGGCTAAATAACCAATTTTAAAGTGAATTTTTGAACCCAGTCCATCTGTAAATTGAGGATTACCTGAGTGTAGATTATTTCACATTTGGAAAAACTATTTTTTTCTCATTTATTTCAACTAAAAGCCCATCACATGATAAATAGATATAGAATAAAAATTGTATAATTATTTGTTTTTCAGGGTTAATTAACATAGACTTCTTTTCACAATGCTAGGTGTTAACATGTATCACCACTTCTGTGACTTTGTCAATCTTTACATCACTCAACACGTCAACAATTCCTTTACTACAGATGTGTACATTGTGATGTGGGACACGGTGAGTAGGACTGCTCTCTGCTTCAGCTCTGTCCTTGCTCAGTAAATCTGTGACTCTGAGGTGGTGAAGTGTAATTTTCTAAGACACAGACACTTAAAGACTCACACATACATCTATTCATGTGCAGATGAGTGGGATCTGTCTATGTGTATGTACATGCACATATATACATGGGGAGATACTGTGTTGGCCAAAAAGTCCACTTAGTTTTTTCCATAAAATAAAAGTCATGTTATTCATTTTCATGAATAACTATTGATTTGGATATTTTGAGTAGATTGGTTGTCTCCTATTGGCTTCTAGTGGGTAGAGGCTGAGGTGCTGCTAAACATCTTCCAATATATGAGAGCCCCACAGCAAAGATTTATTTGGCCAAAGTATCAATAGTACCCAGAAACTTAGCAAACTACTTTTGACACATTCAGTCAGTCATAGCACCTTCTCCATACACTGTACAAATCTTTTTTTTTTTGCATTTTTGTTGCATTTTTGTCTTTCTTGAAATAATAAAACAATATGCTGAGAATGTTGCATATTTTCTTCCATCTTCAATATTAAAATGGCTACACAAAAATTCACCAATTTGATAACATTTTTTTAAATGCATCTGATATGATAGCTGTCACAATACAGTGTAAGAAATTGTGTTGAGTGAAGTTAAAGACAACTAAGTACTACTAAGGCCATTGTATGGAAAAAACTAAATGAACTTTTTGGCCAACCCAATACATGTGTAGGTTTATACTTTCATTCTATGAACTTCAGAGTGAGGCCATGGAAGATTTCTTTGCTCCTTTGGGCAGGTGAATCTCCAAAGACCAAAGTCCCATCCTTTGTGTTTTTCTGAGGGAGACATAAGAAGACTGTCATTCCTTTGACCCCTGTGACCCCTGCATGACCCTCGTGGGGAGCACTCTTGTCTTTACCATTTGACTTTGCCTACTTGCAGTTTCCCATTGCTGCCTGCTTGATGACAGCTGTGCCGTATGGATGCATTCACTATACGTGCCGAGTCCTGGGTGTGCACATAAATACTGTACCTGCTATTTGCTTATTTGTTTTTAGTGCTGTCTTTTTTCCTTCTCACTCTTTCCCTTTTTTTTTCCCTGTTTCTTTCAATACTGGCCTATGTACCTGCCAAGGTAACCTACCCCCACCAGAGTTGCCCAAATGCACACAACTGTGAAATGGGATAATTGTAGTCTCTACTTGAGTGTCATTTTGAGAATAAACCATATAGGATATGAATAGTCAGAGTACCCGACACATAGCACATGTGCTTTGAATGTTACTGTGACAAAGACAGTGATAAGAACATGTGGTTTATATTGGGTTGGCCAAAAAGTTTGGTTTTTCCACAAGATGGCTCTAGTAGTGCTTAGCTGTCTTTAACATCATTCGAAACAATTTTGTTAGATTGTATTATGACAGCTGTCATATCAGGTGTATTAAAAAAAAACTAACCCCTGGCTGGCGTAGCTCAGTGGATTGAGCGTGGGCTGTGAACCAAAGCGTCACAGGTTTGATTCCCAGTCAGGGCACATGCCTGGGTTGCAGGCCATGGCCCCCAGCAACCGCACATTGATGTTTCTCTCACTCTCTCTCTTTCTACCTCCCTTCCCTCTCTAAAAATAAATAAATAAAATCTTAAAAAAAAACTTACCAAGACTGGTGAATTTTGTGTAGCCCTTTTAATATTGAAGATGGAAAAAATATGCAATATTTTTGGTATTTTGCTTTATTATTTCAAGAAAGATAAAAACACAACTGAAATGCAAAAAAGATTTGTGCAGTATATGGAGAAGGTGCTATGACTGACTGAATATGTCAACAGTGGTTAGTGAAGTTTCGTGCTGGAGATTTCTTGCTGGATGATGCTACCCAACTGGTCAGGTAGACCAGTTGAAGTTGATAGTGATCGAATCCAGACATTAATTGAGAATAATCAATATTATACCATGTGGGAAATAGCCAACATACTCAAAATATCCAAATCAATAAAATTATTGGTGAAAATGAAAGCTATGTCTTTTCTTTTATGGAAAAAAACACATGGACTTTTTGGTTAACCCAATAATACACATGAGAAAGGCTGCCTAAACTGGGAAGTTGAAATACCAACTGAGAAGTCATGTAAGTTTCAACTAAACATTCCAACTCACAGGACACCATTCGCCCCCCTCTTGGCATAAGTCTGTTTAGAATGATCTTGCAGGGGAACCACAGCTTGCTGGTAGGACAGGATCAGATATTTTCTCTGGAAAGAGTCTTTCTAGCAGCTCACATAGTACAGCTCAGGTGCAAGGACTAGGGATCCGCCTGGGCAGGTACAGGTGCCTCATATCCCACAGGATGTCCCTAATGTCTCCTGGGACAACTGCATTGGCAAAGACCCTAGAACCAAGGAGACAGCCAATTATGAGAGTCATTACACCCTTTCCCAGTGATTTACCTATTAAATATCTTTTTCTTAAATCATAGGCAGTGTTACCTAGAAGCACAGTGGACACATGCTATATTCATTTTCATAGAGCAGAGCTAGACAGCTGATTGCAGTTCCATTTCTTGTGCAGGAGGGAAATTGTTTTCCTGACATGTTTTTCATTTATGTGAAGCTCATAGTTGAGCTGAATAGGCAAGGTTTTATTATTGCCGCGAGACCTGTGGTTTGATGTGAAGTTTGATGAGAGTCGTTTTTTTATTCTTGGATGTGAATGCTGTCTTTAGTTTCCTTCTTGCATAGATTTACGTTTTTCATATCTTCAGTTTTGCTGCCACCAGTTTCATTTCCTCAAAATGTTTCTGTGAGCAAAGGGCACATAGTCCCTTTCTTTTCCTCTTTTTGTGTGCTTCTAGGCCACAGTCACTGGGCATCAGCAGCCCTGAATGATTAATTCAGGGTGTGGTGCTTTTTTAAAAAATTATACCTGTTGTTATCTCATCTAATGTTCACAACCCTTGGTGGACAAGGTTTTTATTAGCTTATTTCATAGATGAGGAAGCCAAGGCTCTGAGCAGCTGGTGGCTGTCCTCTAAGAACATGGTCAGCAAGGGGTGGAATCAGGGTTCCTGTGTAAGCCGGTTGACTCCAGATCTGTCCCCAGAAACTGCAGTGCTTTAGTGCCTCCCTAGAGTTCCCTGCAGAACCTGTTAAGTGGATGAAAGTTTTCTAGATACTTCCTAGAAGTTTCCTTGTATCTTGTATGCTTTTCTGTGCCTTCCTCAAGTAGACTGAGTTAAGCTGAGCTGACTTCTCCCACCCACCCTTCTCTGTGTCCTGCTGGGAGGTGTAAGCTGTTCAACCACCAGAAGCTTCTTGGTCACTCAGGTCACTGGGCACGTGTGGCAGGGCATTCAGACCCGGACTGGCCTGGCCCAGCATGCTGTGTGCCCTGCTGTTACCTTCCTCCTTTGCTGCTCTCTGTGCGTCCATTTTAAAGTTGTTTTCTTTATCAGTGAGGTCTTAGCTGGTTTCTCATTCAGATTCCTAGGACAGACAAATCTGCTGGGTTGCTACAGAATTGAGGCCCACAAAGTACTGGAGGTTTCCTGGGGACAGTCGTAAGGTGTTGTGTGACCACTGACACTTCTCTTTTCTGGTGAGTCCTTCAGTGAAGCCACACTGTGGCCCAGGCTGACTGTGACTCGAAGCCCTGATAGAGGACAATGCTCAGAGCAGTTCTGAAGGCCTTGGAATGAGCAGTGTGCCCAGGGAAGGAGCAGAGTGGTGGCTGTGGCTGCACTTCAGATCTTACTGACCTTTTACAAACTTCTCATAAAGAAGCCCTATAAGGACTTCCCTCTTGTCCTTACAAAATTTAGCAGTTTGGCCTCTCCCTTGAGTCACATGGCTTCCTCTGTGGGATGGGTAAGGCCACCAACCTCCTGAGATGCATTAAGGGACACTTCTACAGAAGAATTTCTGGGCATAACAGGGTTGCTGTTATTAACAGAATGAATAAAAGAGGAGATTGCTGCAGGATTTCCATATTTTCTTGTGCTGAGAAGTAATACAGCTTTATTATTATTTTTAATTAGGCAAGTAGTATCTGGTTATAATGAGTTCAAACAACACAGAAGTATGTAATGATTAAAAAAAATTCTTCCTCTTCTCTAATTCCATTTCCCTTAAAGGTAATTGCAGTTAACACATGAGAATGCCTTGTAAGACTTATTTTATTTGAATAAATATAAATATATCTGTATAGGAAATATGCTCTCTCACATTAATTTAATATGTCATGGACATTTAAGGTTATCATTTTCCATTGATATTCTGTTGGCTGCATGCCTCAGTACATTCATTCATCTCTGTCCCCATCTGGATCATGTGATGTTTGTTTCTAATTCTTTGCTATTTACTGAAATGCTGCAGTGAAAATCCTTCCCATGGACACATGCCTATATACCTCATCCTAGCATTTCTGCAGGACAGATTCTTGTAAGTAGAAATTCTAAGTCATAGGTTATGTGTATGTTTAAATTTGAGACAAACACAGGAGGCAGGAGGATATGTTCTTCACTATGAGACTAGAAAAAATTTTCTCCTTTCCCTGTGGCAGAGAATTTGAATTTGGGACATGGCAAAGCAGCTTTTAGAGGTGGTTGTTACTGAATATTACATGATTCCCTGGAAAAGGGATGAGTCAGGTTTCTGTATTGTATTATTAAATTTTTTTCCAAAGGTGTCTTGTTTTATCTGAGGTATTTTATCTCAAGAAACTGTCTAGTCACTTCTTTTAATTGTCCTTTATTTATCATTGAGCCAGACCCAGAAGATTGCACTTTTGGTGGTGTTCTCAGGGGCCTTTCTTAGAATGGCACTGGAGAGATATTGACGGAACTATTTTTTATCACCACATTTAACAATTCTCTGTAATTTTGAAATAACTCTAAAATGTATGATGTAAAATTTTTATAATCTGAAAAAAGTGCTATAAAGATAAAAAGACATAAACATAATCATCATCTATAACCGAGACTTTAATATTTCTTATTTCCTCCATTGGCTGAATTTTTCAATCTAAGTTATACCATTTTAAAATAAATTATTCTTATAGTTTGAAAAAAATAAAATAAAATAAAATAAATTGATCTACTTTAACTGATGGAGCATGTAATTAATTTCTGCTTTTTAAAAATCAATGCATTTGGTTAATGTACTAGAAGGAACTAATTCCCTCTGAGAGGCAACTGCTGTGCAAAGGTTGTGAACATGGAGTCTGGAACCACACAGACTGAATTAATCCCAACCCTGCAAACACACCAGCTCTATGATTTAGGCAAATTACTTAAATTTGTGTCTTAGTTTCCTTAATTGTAAAAAGAGGGTAATGATATTATACAACTCATTAAGTTTGTAGAGTGGTTTAATGTATTAAATAATGTCAAGTGATTAGAATAATGCCTGGAGCATAAGAACATGCAAAATGCTGTTATTATTATGATTTTACTCTTATTTCTAATGTTAATGGGGAATTATTAAGTATTAGGCAATGGTTAGTTGATTTCATACAGTTACACATTTTCTTGTTCTGAAATTTCTAAAGTAATTACCCAAATATCAGAGTGTGTACTAATGGTGATGTATGTATGTTTTGTGTGCATCTGTAATTTGGATAGAAAACTCCCAGAAAAAAAACCCCACAACTAGTTTTAGACATGAAAATACAAAGGGTTAGGATGGAAAGACAAACCACTTTTAGCAGACTAAGATTATAATTGTGATGATTATTTTTGATGAAATTACACCAAATAAGACCCAAAGTGAAAAATCTGTTTTTCTTCTATGAATTTTATGGGCTTGTTTAGGATCATTAGTTTTTGCACTAACAAGGTAGGTACATTGTTGCATTCTTGGAAAGCCATGTTGAATGACTTTATTGCTCTAACTTATTTTTATTTCCACTTTCAGAGCTCCTATGGATACGGTGACCTGTTCTCTGACACATGGAAAGCATTTACTGATTATGATGTGATACATTTGAAAACTTATGATTCCAAAAGGGTATGGGAAACTTTACTGAAATGTCTGTAAATAATTGTCATTACAGATGACTCACACATCAGATAAATACTTAGTGTGAGTTCCTATTAGCTATTGGGTTAGCCAAAAAGTCCATTTAGTTTTTTCCATAATATAAAAGACCCATTTTTCATTTTCACTAATAATTTTATTGACTTTGAGTGTGTCAGTTACCTCCAGCTATTGACTTCTAGTGAGCAGAGGCCAGGGGTGCTGCTAAATGTCTTCCAATGCATAGGACAACCCCACAGCAAAGAATTATTTGGCCAAAATGTCAATAGTACCAAGAAACTTCTCAAACCACTTTTGACACATTCAATCAGTCACAGCACCTTTTCCGTGCACTGCACAAATCCTTTTTTGCATTTCAGTTACATTTTTACCTTTTTTGAAATAACAAAGCATAATATACCAAAAATGTGTATTTTCTTCCATCTTCAATATTAAAATGGCTACACAAAAATTCACCAATTTTGGTAAGTTTTTTAAAAAAATACATGCTGATATGACAGCTGTCACAATGCAATTTAACAAAATTTTTTCAAATGAAGTTAAAGACAACTAAACACTACTAGAGCCATTGTAGGAAAAAACATAACAGACTTTTTGGCCAGCCCAATATTACCATTGATTTCTTACCTCTTAGTTTCTCTTTTGGTAACTGGAATCTTCATTGTTATTAACTTGCAGCTTTTAAAAATACTTTCTCATACCTTTTTCAAAAACATGAATTTCACTTGAGTGAAATAGTTTGCTCTTCAACATATTTTAATGTAAAATAGAGGTTAATTAAAATTTACTTTCTGTAATTATAAGTGCTGTTTTGGTGTGAAGGGTACATATTGTCTCTTCTAACCTTTTAATATACCTGTATTGTTAGGTTTGTTTTAAAGAAGTGATTTTTTCACTACTCCCTCGGATGAGATACGGGCTGTTTTATAATACCCCTCTGGTAAGAATCTTATCTGTTGCAAACATTCACATTTATAAAATTTATTCTTCATGTGTTTTAACATAACTTATATAACTAACCTCTGAAATAGTAATATATAAATATTCATTTTTTATTGTAGATATCTGGCTGTCAAAATACTGGATTATTCAGGGCATTTTCCCAGCATATACTACACAGATTGAACATCACACAAGAGGGACCCAAGGTAATGAATACACAGCAGGTCAAATAATGTTGTTTTATTCAATGTCATTTCATTATAACGTTGGTGAGATGCCATAGGAACTTAACTCAATTAGCCTATACTTACACTAGTTTCATTATACATTATTTCACTTAAAGTCACAGAACTTAAGAGATGATGTTAAGTGAGGACTTACTGCATTACAGGTTCCAAGGTGAGCTTGACTTTTTTTTTTTTTTAAGATTTTATTTATTTTCAGAGAGGGAAGGGAGGGAGACAGAGAGAAAGAGAAACATTAATGTGCAGTTGCTGGGGGTCATGGCCTGCAAACCAGGCATGTACCCTGACTGGGAATCAAACCTGCGACACTTTGGTTTGCAGCCCGTGCTCAATCCACTGAGCTATGCCAGCCAGGGCATGAGCTTGACTTTTACCCTGAATAAATATCAATACCACCTTTACAGAAAAAGAAATACTCAGAAGACAGTGAGTGTTTCCTGTATTAACAACTTCTGAACCAGAGTGATCTGAAATCAAATGTCTACCACCTATATGAAAGATAAACTAGGGATAGTGGAAGAATGTGCTTTTCTTCCCTTATCTTTTTCCTTTGTCATACCTCCCCTCCACTGCCAAATCCCCATCTGAGTCACACAATATCTGCTCAAAAAAATCTACCCAACCATCCAAACACAAGTGTAGTGAACAAGTTTTGTCTCCTGTGGCTAAAGTAAATGTATTTTTTTTATTCCCTAAGAGAACTGTGAAGGAGTAACGCCTTAAAAAAAGTTTCATAATGTATTCTTATTGTGTTTCATCTCTTTGTGAAAATCCCACTTTAGGTTCAGGTGTTCATTCATCTGTCTAGGCACATACAGCATCATTTTGCCTTTTCCTTTTGATTACAGGGTGGAAAAATTAGAGTCACCCTTCTTGCACGGAGCACAGAATACCGGAAAATACTAAACCAAAATGAGGTTAGTTTTTCTCTGTATTTTTAATGTCATCATATTAACTTTCTATAACTGGTATGCTTTAGTTTTTCACATTGCAGCGAATGTTTCCATTTGAAATTATTAGCCTTTAGAAAAGGTTATGTCCAGTTCATTTGTTAGATTTTTTTTTTTAATGAAAGTCTGAATTTTTTTTAAGATTTATTTATTTATTTTCAGAGAGGGAAGGGAGGGAGAAAATGAGAGAGAGAAACATCAATGTGCGGTTGCTGGGGGCCATGGCCTGCAACCCAGGCACATGCCCTGGTTGGGAATCGAACCTGCGATACTTTGGTTCACAGCCCGCGCTCAATCCATTGAGCTATGCCAGCCAGGGCCTTCATTTATTAGATTTTTATTGAAAGGCACCAACCACTTATTAAACTCCCAAACTGATTTCAGTAGCATCAACTCATAAATTATATTTAACTTCAGTAAGATCAGCATGTGTACAACAATGTGGCTGGAAGATGTCACAACAGTAAGATCTATTCCATAAAAATGTATCAAGAACTTTCATGTGCTGGGTCATGGTTCCGGGACTTGTTAGAAACAGAATAGGACCAGTTTACAAATTCCCCATTTTATTCTTCATTCCTCAGTCTTGGGGGAACAAAGGTGATGACTGCTATAGCCATTTCCTGCTGATAAGGAGACAGTAAGTCAGGGAGAGTGAAGAAAGCATAAGAAATATGCTTAGAATACTAGGCCCGTATAAGCAAATATCACAACCAGGAAAGTAAAACATGGTTCAAACCCAAATAAGAGCAGTTAGGATAGATAATTCAGTTTATACAGGCCTGGTACAAACTCCTGGGAGGAAGTAGTCTTCTTTCTAGGAGTCTGTGTCTTCTCTTCTTGGCCAGGTGGGGTCTGTTGCCCTGTTTCTTTTGAAAAGTAATTAACTAGAGGGAGTTCACAGACTCTGTTCTAATTAAGTAGTAGCTGACCATTGGTGTTGATTTTTCCAAGTCTTGAGGGCCAGATAAAGCAGCATCTAGAGATAGCACACATTTTATAGCATCTAATTTTTTTACAATATGCTTAAAGAAGGGTTTCCCATATAATATTTCATGCAGGATCAATGGAGCTTGCTTGTAGGGGACTACTCTTACCTTAAGCAGGGCAGCTGATAGAACCTTATTCCAAGTTATGTTGGTTTCTTTCTTTTTTTTTTTTTATATTTTCTCCCATTCCATGAGTTGTCTTTTCACTTTCTTTTTTTTTTTTTTAAGATTTTATTTATTTATTTATTTTTAGAGAAGGAAGGGAGGGAGAGAGAGAAACATCAATGTGGGGTTGCTGGGGGTTGTGGCCTGCAACCCAGGCATGTGCCCTGACTGGGAATCGAACCTGCTTTGATTTGCAGCCCGCACTCAATCCACTGAGGTATGCCAGCCAGGGCAAGTTGGCTTCCTGACTTACTCATCTTTTCAGTATTTTCTGTACACTGAGGAGTGCATGAAGCATGTAATTTCTGAGGGCCTTGCATCTTTTCTGTCTTTCCTGGGCTATGCCTTGTGGAGGTACCATCCAGCAATATTGTTTCCCATTAGTTTCTGGATTGTCCCATTCAAAGGCAAACAGGACTCTGGGGTATACAATAAAAGACATCTTTTTTAGTCCAGAACTATAAACTAGCAGAGGTCTCCAGATCAAGCTGTAAGCAAAGTAAAAGGATTTGGTGCCATCATATATATATCCTCTATAGTTTGGCTCTCAAGTCCTATACAAAACTATTATCCCCTGTGCTGGGTGTTTTTGCACTGGCAGGCTTAGAGTGTTATGTGGGGAGTGACATGGTCAGATTAATTAGCATTTACGAAAGGTGGTGATCTATGCTGACCAGTGTGGCTCAGTTGGTAGGGCCTATATATCCCATAAAGTGAAAGGTCACCAGTTTGATTCTGACTGGGCGTGTGCAAGAGCCAACTGACTGATGTTTCTCTTCCTCTCTTTTCCCTGCCTTCTACCCCTCTGTAAAAAATAAAAGAAAAAAGAAATGTCGCTATCTGTGGCTTTATACCTTCTTTTGCAGGTCTCTCCAAAGGGTATTTTTCAAATTTGGAATTTTATTACCTGGATGAAGTTTTACTATTAATGGGTCATCAGCTTGGCTTTTCCTGGCCTCTGTCAGCCCAAACATTTCTCTTACTTTCTGTAGAATTTATTCATGGATTTCTGTTTGAGGCTTGTCTTCCAGTTATAATAGCTCAACTTGGAGGGCACAGGCTTGATCTGGTAGGATATTAATGTTGATTTTTTTCTGGTGAGGAAATCTGGTGGGCATTTTGTTAGTGGATCTCATCCCAACAAGAGATGATATATTCAGGCATACGTAGAAAGTTGTGTTTTAAATGTGTTTTCTGCCCTGGCTGGTGTGGCTCAGTGGATTGAGTGCCAGACTGTGAACCAAAGGGTCGTTGGTTCAATTCCCAGTCAGAGCACATGCCTGGGTTGTGGGACAGGTCCCTAGTAGGGGGCACGGGAGAGGCAACTGCACATTGATATTTCTCTCCTTCCCTTCTTCTCTCTCTAAAAATAAACAAATACAATCTTTTTAAAAAAGTATTTCCCCTACATGACATTTGAATGGCCGAAGGAAGGGTCCGTGGGAGTGTTTCCCTCCCAACAACTGTAATAGCTATGGTTTTGGGGGAGGAGGCCTTGTTTGATATTTAGGATAGAACATGTAGCTTCAGTATCAGTTAGAAAGTCTATGAATCTCTGTCCCACAGCAGTTGTCACCCAGGGTTTGTTGTTTAAATGAAAGAACCTTGAGGCTCCCCAGGGCCTGCCATAGCTGGTTAGTAATGGGCTTATCTGTGGGGACTTCCTTCCCCATCCTTTCCTGCGATTAGGACATTCTCATCTCCAGTGATTCTCTTATTTAAATATGTACAATGCTGTGGCCCTAAATGGGGACAGCCCTTTCAGTCAGCAGGCTCCTGGGGTTTTGCCCATGGTTGTTTGTTTCTTGAGCAAGCGCCTTCCTGGATCTTGATTGTATGCTGGTAAGTGTTGAGGTGAGCACTGTAGCTTATTGTATCATGTCATGTTGTGAGCCTCAAAAACTCTGTCAAGGAAGGTGCATGGGTGCTTCTTGGGCCCTTGTTTGGGCCCCTCAGTTAAGTCCCATTACCAGGCATCCACTTCTGCTGGGCCAGGGATGGCATGACTTGGTGGATCCCAGGGGGTTGGTGTGGGCCTTCTTGCCCCTCCCATTCCTGCATGGAGCTTGGAGCCCACGGCCTGGGCTTTGCCCTGGGGCTGGCCTTGGCAACACCCCAGCCACAGCAGGTACCCAGCCTGACGCTGTCCAGGTGCTCTACTTTCTGTCATGTCTCTTACCTGGCAGGCTTTTCTCTGAGTCATGTCTTCAGTATTCAATTGACAATGAAATTTAAACGTATATTGCAATAATACTTAACATTTTAAGATAGCAACTAGAATTATTTCTTTACTTGACAAATCTTTCCATGTAATTTTAGTATATTAAATAGGCCAAATTAGTTTAAGAAAAATTTTTATAGGGAGAAAGAGAACAAATCTTTGAGGCATTACAGGGGAATAACCCAAATCCATTTTCAGGTTAAGAAAATGTCTCCTTTTAAAACCTGGGCCCTGGGAAGTTTGTCAAACATACTTGACCAAAAAATTGTATATCACTATGAAACAATATTAAATTGCCCATTTACCCAAAGTGACAATAAAAGGTATCAAACATATTGGTAACTTAGATTAAGGGTTAATGACTTTCCACTTTGAAGATAATTAATATGGGGCTTCTGTCTGAACTGACTGCAGAACTTGGGACTGAGTTCAGTGCCCTTGCAGAGGGTTTGAGGGAGTAGGTGCGACACACACACACACACACACACACACACACACACACTCACGACTGCACCCCAGGCTGCACTCTACAGCGGGGACCCTGTGGCTGAGCTTCAGTGATCACCACATAGTAGCTCAGGGCCAGGACTGGATGCCAATAATTGCTGCGGTCACCTCCCTCAGGGAGGGCTGAAGAGGGCAGCATACACAGCCTTAAATCTCCACAAACTTTGTGAAACAGAACAGGGCAGTAGATTAAGAACTCTTCCAGTCAGACATCCAAGACCTGGGACTGTGCCTGACACAGCTTCCCAGGGTGAGGCTCTACTCCACAGTCCATGAGGCTTTAGACAAAGAGGTGACTCAGCCACTATTTCTTTACCCAAAAGTGAAAGTAGAAAGTAGGCCATTGGGGCTGGAGCTTGCCATCAGCTGACAAAGCCTGTAAGTGGCTGTTCTGGTCACTTTCAGGGCCTTCGGCAGTTGTCACAAGGCCTCTTGCTTTCTGGTGGCCAAATTGTCACCGAGCCAGGGATGCTGCCTGACATACACAGGAGCCAGTACTGTGACATCTACTTTGGAGAAAAAGAAAGGCAAAGAGATGGGAGGGAAGGCTCCGGGTTTGGGGTGGGATTTTAAGGGGTTTCAGCACTGGATCTTCTTGGAAGATGGGCCTTAACTTCTGAAAGGTCCCAGTCTTCAGGTACCAGTCACATCTGATCCTTCGAATGGTTCCATGGGGTCAGTTAAGGATTCACAGTGTTAGTCATAGTGGCATTCCAAAGTTGAAACTTTGGTTCTGGGCCTTGTTAGGAAAGGATCTGTAGGGGCTTTGCAGTTACAATCCTGGGAAAATTACTTAACTTCTCGAAGCTTCTGGTGTATCACTTATGAAGTGCACATAATAGTAATATTTCCTTGGTAGGACTTTTATGAAGATTAAGTGACCTAATCCTTAAAAAATGCCAGCATAATTTAAGTGCACAATCAGTGATGCTTTTGTAGCCATCAATGTTGTGCATTCTGTGTGCCACAGATGCAGGACACAGGTGCGGGACATGGCGCATATGTTTCTGAAGAGCAGGAGCCACAGTGTTGGGTTAAGGTGGCCTAAATTCTGAAGGATTCGAGAGCCATGGCTATGATTTTAATAATAGATTAATTTGCTTTTTTACTTTATATATGCTAAAAGAATAATTGTTTTTCTGTATAGAAATATTGAAAATGTTTTCCTGCTAAGAATTTAGTATTTTTAGAGGATGAGGCCCAAGGTGCTAATGGTTTATTTGAAATGAGATAATGGATAGAAAAAAATTCTTAACATCATGTCTGGAACAAAGTGCCCAGGAAATTACATGTTGAAACTTGAGGGAATAAGTAGCAAATGGTAATAATAACAGTTAACATTTAGTGAACCTCTGTCCAGAGCACTTTGCTCCCCTGAACTTTCTCCTTTTAGCCTCATGACATCCCAGTGCAGCATAATTTTTGGGAGGCAGTGTGTCCCAGGGGTGGAGCCAACATTTGAACTCAGTTAAGGGTTAGTAGAGCAATAGACCTGAAGGATATTTAATACGTGGAAAATATTTTGTATGAGAAATAAGAAATGTGAGGACTCAAAGAAAAATAAAACTATAGAGAAGGAAAAGAAATTTTAAATGTTCCTGTTATTTTCCCAGCTTGTAAACGCACTGAAAACGGTATCTACATTTGAAGTCCAGATTGTCGATTACAAGTATAAGTAAGTAATCGTGCACCCTCGGGCAGAAGCTGTCACCTTTTTTTCTGGATGAATTAATGGAAGATAGAAAGGATTTTTCAAACTGGAGTTGTTGGCGTTTTAGACCTGGAAGGGACAAGCAGACACCAGCAGTGAATGAAGTGGGCAGGTCAGGGCACAGGCATGGTTGCTCTTTGGCTGTTGGGGGCCTGATGTTGTTTACCATCTCATTTTTCAAGAGGAATGATGAATCGTATTTTCATTTGAAATGTCTGGATTTTTACATTGGCAACTAATTCTGAATTTTTAAAAAAGTTGTAGACCTATAAATTTGCCCTATTAACTCCTGGGTTTCAACTTTTGACCTAAAATTAGTTATGTTGTGAATAATTTGAGGGTCATAGAACAATATGAAAGTTTTAGAAATCTTATAAAACATTTACACTGCTATTAAAATTCTGATACTGTAACAGGGTGCAGCCAAGAGGGGGTCCCCAAATAGGGATTTGGAATGGGGTCCAGAACTCAGGGTGTCCAGGAAATATTGGGATGTCCTCACCCCTCCCCGCACAGGTGTGGGTTGGGGGAAGGGACACATGGAGCAGGGCCATTGAGAGCTGTTTTGCATAGCAACAGCTTTGCAGCTAACCTCTGGTGTGGTCATTTAACATATTTATAACCTTTAACTGGTGTTAAATAGCTGTGGCCATGCTCTGAGCCAGTGGGGGATGGAAATAACTTCCCCACCAAGACGTAACTGGGGGGCAGGCAGGTCCCTCAAGTTACAGCACCTGCATGGGAGCTTAGAAAGGATTGGCTCCATGACACGGGGCCACGCATGCCCAGACCCACGATGGCAGCCCAGTGAAGCTGGAAGGATATGGGAGTGCTGGCAAGTGTAGCCAATGGTGAGAGGCATCGGAAATGGGGCTGCAGAGGAGTATTGGTGGGGGGATTTAAAACCCAGACGAGGCAGCCATTGTGCAGGGAGAACCACATGGCTTTGCCAGAATGGGAACTCCTATGACCCTAGGAGAGAGAACCACTCGGTCTTTAGCAGAGTGGGGACCCCTGCAGCCCTGTGAGAGAGAGAGAGCCACTCGGCTTTGCCAGAGTGGAGACCCCCACAGCTTTAGAAGGGGGAACCACCACCCGGCTTTAGCAGAGATCCCGGTGACACAGCTGATGGTACTGGGAACCGAGGGAGGCCTACCAGCCGAGACAGATTACTGGGAAGAACCGGGGGCTGCCTTAGCCATGGACTTCCATTTCTTTTCCTGAGATACGGTACCCCAGACTGGCCAAAGGGGGGAAGGAAGGACTGTGTGTGTTTGTGGGTGTTTTAAGGGACTTTGGGATTTTGATGAAGACATTAGGTGACTACTTTAAGTTTGTATAGCATTAAATAAACATTTCCTTTTCACAAATCTTTGGCATTGAGAGATGTCTTTCCTCTGGCAGCAGACATAACAAACCTGGGGCGTTCCTTTTGGTAATAGTATATTGTCCAAGCCCCCCACCCCCCACCCCGTTGTAATGTAACAATACAATTAAAAAGCTTCACAAGACAGAATAGGCCTGTCACTGTCTAGCTAACCTCTGTTGATATAAAAACAGTAATGCCACAAAAGCAGTGTGTGTACCTGAATGGAAAGTCAAAGCTACATAGAAAGGTCCAAAGGAAAGGTGAAAGCTTTGTCTCCCACCCTCATCCACCCACAATCATCATCTTGTTTTCCAAACTGAATTTTATGAACAGTTTCTGTGTTAAAAAAGAACAAGTGTACATTTACCAGCATAAGGGTATCTAATGTAGACAGGTTTAAACTTATCAGTGTTGCATCTCACTCATCACACATTCATTCTTTCACACAAATCTTTATTGGGGTCCTGCCATGAGCTGGTCATAGGCTTTGAAGTAGGAATGCAGTCATGTGGCTAGTATGGCTCTTGTCTTGAGGACTCTAGACACTAAATAAAAATAAGTAACAATAATTGATGCGGACCCCGCCTCGTGGGTTCCTCGTCATTATGGATGAAATATGAGACAAATTCACATGGACTACCGAGTTCTGTGGAGGAAAAGGGACAGCATGGCTTTTCTCTCAAGGGGAGCAAAAGCCTTGGCCCTCACTCCAATGAGCTTTTATTGTCTTACTGGGCACATTACAAGAAGGTCCTCATTAAATATGCATAGGCTCACTTTAGTGGTTACCTTATACAGAAAACAAAGGAGAGGATGCTGGTAATCACATCACAAAAGAGGGATATTTGCAAATGAAAAGGCAAAAGTAGTTGTACCAGTTACACTCATCCTTGGAAGGTTTAGCATGGTTTTTAGGAAGTTGCTTTGCAGTAAATGTTATCAATTCAGGGTGAGGGAGTTTTAGCAAAAAGCAAGACTCAGTGGCCTAGGTACATTGCAGGCCTGATTCCCCACAGGAGAACCTATCCGTTTCATGGGTCCTGTGCATCTCCTGATGGGAGCTGGACCCATGCCATGCAGAATGGTCTCCTACAAGTTATAAAGAACAGCGACCCTATATTGAGACTTATTATTATGCTTTGCTTTATCTTATCTCACTCTTCCAACAGTCCTGTGAGGTTGGCAAAGTTATTCTTGTTTTATGAATTTTACTGTGCCCTGGCGACCACCCTCATTGTCACATGAAGAAATATAGCATGCAAGAAGTGGCCAGGCATTGGGCTAACAGAATGGAGGAGCGGAGATGTGCCCCTGAGGCTTTGCTATTGACTGGGTTTCTCAGATGAAGGAAAATGATAATAAATTCAGACCTTCCCAATTTGAGGATCATGTTAGTAATGTAATCACATGGATATTGGTGATGCCTGAGCCATAGACATTTTCCATAACTGGCGATTCTCTGCCTATATTCACCTGGATGGTGTCCTATCTTTCCCTTGCATCAGTGGCACTCCTAGGGAAACTGATGCATGTGTACCTCATGTGAGACACATGGTATCATTGTCTTCCTTTCTTTGTGTGGGTGCGGGATTTTTGTTGTATTTTGAGAGGCAGATCTTTAAAGAGAAGGAACTGATTAAGAAGAAATTTACTTTCCCTTCTTAAGTTAAAAATAATCTTGATTATTTATTTTTCTCTAGTTTGGGTAAGTGGGACTGGGAGGTCTAATCCCATTATGTTTGTGTTATCCTCATTCCAGCATTTCTTCCCAGACTCACTTTGGTGAACTTTTTGGCATCAATTTTAGTTCAGATTTTCACATCTTTTAGTGTCTTGAATTCAAAGAGCACTTTTACAGTCTTAGCATGCATAAAATTGTGGATTAGTCTGTTGCAAAGGCAAGAAACTGCTTGGTTGTATCGAGATAATTTAAGTTATTCAGATGACATTGAATATAAGTCAATTCACACAAGGAGGAATTAATTTCCTATTTTAAAAAACCACTTTATCATCTTAAGTAGTTTCTCGTTTAGTGCAAGTATACCATAACATCTTTTCAACCCTTGCTAGTTTCACTTTTTCATAAAGAGAAAGCAGGCATCAGGCTTAGAGCTTTACCTTGAAATAGTATTTACTTAGATTTGAATAATACTTTTTAGTTTGATTATATCAATTTGTATAGTTTTGTTTGTCATATGTTAATGGTTTTCCATCTAAGATGGCTATAAAAGTTTCCTTCTAAATTAAATACACTTAGGTTTTTAAAAAAGAGTTTACTTTAGAAAAATGTTAAATTATTGAGTATTAAGTTATTAAATACTGGAGTAGGCTTGAAATGGCAAAAAAACATATGGTGAATGTGATTCAGTTGGGAAAGACACTCATATAAATGTTTTAACTATGAGTCATGAGCTCAACTCAACTTAGTGCTTTCTCCTTTTTTTCTGTCTTTTGTTGTTTTGTATGTACACAGGGAACTTGGGTTTTTGGATCAGCTAAGGATCACCCACAACACAGATATATTTATTGGAATGCACGGAGCTGGTCTTACCCATTTACTTTTCCTGCCAGACTGGGCTGCAGTATTTGAGCTGTAAGTGTTTGGGGGCAGTTTTACATTGAGTCAGCTACCTCATAATGGTCTTTCCATGCATGCTGAGTCTTTTACTAAGAGAATCAAAAGACTCAATATTTAATCATTCTAGGGAAGTTACATCATATAGACATCTGGAAAGAAAAAAAAAGAACTAAAGCTAAAAATATGAAGTCTGCCATTTCACAAAGCAAGGAAACCTGCCCCTTCCTCCTCTATCTTAGCAGAAGATGTGACTCGGTGATTTCTTACTTGGGGTTCCTTCCTGTGTGCCTCTTAACCCAAGCATCTCCCACACTCTCTGTAATTACTGTGTTAAAAGAGAAGCTGTGTGTTGCACACCCATGTTCACAGCAGTCAAGATGTGGAAGCAACCCAAATGTCTGTCAAGGGATGAGTAGGTAAACAAAATGTGGTCTATACACACAATAGAATACTATTCAGCCTTGATAAGGAAGGAAATTCCATCACATGGAACTACATGGCTGGACAATGAGGGCATTATGTGACGTGAAATAAGCCAGTCACAAAAGGACAAATACTATATGGTTTCACTCATAGAAAGTTCCTAGAATGGTCATATTCACAGAGACAGAAAGCGGAATGGTGGTTGCCAGGAACTGGGGGCAGAGGAGGGGTTAGTGTTTAATGGGGACAGAGTGTAAATTTTCAAGATGAAAAGTTATAGAGATTGGGTTACACATCAATATAAATATACTTACCACTACTGAACTCTATACTAGAAATGGTTACAATTGTTGCGTGGGTCCCCATCCAGCAGTGACCACGGAACGCTGTGGATGGCTCGCTGAAAAACACGTGAGAAAAAAACATGCACAGAGACAGACCAGTTTCTGTGGGGAAGTAGGGACGAAATGGCCACCCCCCCTAGTGGGGAGCGCGCCGATTTACAGTCAATACCTGCTTTTATTGGGCTCATTTTGCATAATAATTCAGGTAAAGTACAGTACTCATTAGGGGGAAGTAAGGAACTATAGAAAACAAGGAACTCTGAGGGTCTATTTTGAGTTGGGGTCAAAGGGCTGTAAGACTTTGAGGAACATACTAACTTCCTCCTTGGACCCCTCTCATTCAACTGAGAGCATTCTAAACAAAGAAGGTTTCACAGTAATTTACATATTCTTTCTTAGGCCTGATCACCTGGGGAATCTGCCCTTTTCAGCACAGAGCTGCACCACCCTGTCATTGTTTCAGGCTTAGGTGGAGCAAGGGAACTAAGGCAACCGAGAGATAAGGAGTTTTTCTCCAAGACAATGAAATCTCAGGCTATGTCAAAGCCAAGGAGCGAGGGTCCATCACCCCTTTTGCTGCAGCCCCCCCAAGTCCTTCTTTTGGGGGGCCTCCCAAAGTGATCGTGCCTGTCTTAGGTCGTTCCCCCTTGGGGAATCTTACCCATCTTTGGCTAACCGACCAAGCTTTTTGGGGTTCAGTTATGAATAAAGCAGTAGAAGCAGCATTCCTGCCAGGGAGATAAGCTTTTGTCTCCTTGCTGGCTTACAGTTCCAAGGGCGTTCCCTTAGCCTTAGCCTAGGCGGGGGTTTCAGCTTCTGATACCAGTCAGGGCGGTTCCCAACATACAATGATACATTTTATATTTTCTATCACAATTTTTAAAAAGTAGAGTTTGAGAACATGTGTGTCTCATGAAGAACAGAGCTCCAAAACAAGCTGACCACTTCACCTAGTATTCACTGATTCACACATGGGAACTGAGGTGTCAGGGTGCAAGTGATTGTTCTGAAGGCTCCTCTACCTCAGTGGTTGGTTATAGAGATGTGGCCTTCTCACCCTTAATAATTCTACACTGTGCTTCCTCTTTAGTTCTGACACACCGCTTGTTACCAGGTTTCCCCGCTTTGCGTCCAAACATCTTGATGTTATGGTTCCATTTTAAAAATGACTTGACTCAGTATTTAAATTGGCAACTTTTGTAGAAAAACATTGTCATGAACTTCCACACCATGCAAAAATATTTTAAAATATACATGTTAGAGAAATAGCCAGATAATTGTGAATTCTATCTCGTCTTTATTTCTCTTAGAGGTAGAGAGGGAGAGAGAGAAGAAAGGAAGGAGGAAGTAAAGAAATGTAATTGAGAAAGCCTAGACCTTGGAATTCAGCGGGTCTGGGTTTAGTTTCTGATTCACTAGCTCTCTGACCTTTGGAAGTGTTACCTACCCCAAGTCCACAGTGCAAAGACAGGTATTATGACAAAATATGAAATTCATAGTCAGCCCTATTGATAAAGGTCAGTCTCCATTGTATACTGTTTCATAAAGTTAAGGTAATCTAGTTATGAGAATATAAAAACACAGGGTTTTGCAAAAGAAGGTTTATTGATATTTGTTTGAAAAATAATACAATAATTAAAATAATAATATAAGAATAAACTATTTCACATACAGCTGTAAAACCACTTTTGCCTCACCCTATAATCTCCCTCAGTCTTGTTTACTGTTTAACACAATCTTCTGCAAGAACCTATTTGGAAGGTGGATTGGGCAAAAACTTCAGTCTCACATGTGGATGCCTTTGGTCCCTTAGGTACAACTGTGGAGATGAGCGTTGCTACCTGGACCTGGCCAGGCTCAGAGGCATACATTATATCACTTGGCAAAGACAGAACAAAGTCTTTCCTCAAGATAAGGTAAACTTAAATGGCAAACTCACCTTGGTTTTGCTTTTAGTAAGTTTTAAGTGTCTAGTTATGAAAAACTGTTATTAAACTTCAATCCAAGAATAAATTGTTTTGTGGAATAGTGAATTGTTACCGCTCATATTTGCAAATTGGAAGAAGGGGGAAATTAATCTCTTGAGGGGTAGAGGGGTGTTTGGGGCCAGAAAGTAACTCCAGGAGGAGACCAGAGTGACCAGACAGTGCAGAAGCAAGCAGAGGTGGGGGTTGGGGGATGCAGGGGTGTACCTGAGCCTGATCTGCTCTGCTTTCTCTCCGAGTGGTCTTGGGAAAGGGTCATTGTCCAACACTGGTGGGTTGGTCGCAGGGAGCACAGGAAGTTCTGGTCCAAGTGTAAAGCCTGGGGCTCCAATGATAATCCCAGCAGCAGACAGTGATGGAAGCCTAGATGCCTCACTGCAAGGAGTAGCCTATGAGTCCTTGCTTTAAGCCCAAGGCAGTGCCTTACTGAGGAAGGAAGAAGCTTGCTGCCATTGTCTTCCACCTGGTCACCTGTGTCTCCCCTGGCTGCCGGGAGGGATCCCACTGCCAGCCCTGCTCACCAAGTCCAAGGAACCTGTGCACATGGACAGCCTGAGGCCCAGCAGCACCCTGGTCTTGCTCACCACGTGCCCTGACTCCAGAATGAGCCACCTCTTTACTGGCACTGAGCCCAGCATTCAGGACAGTTTAAGCAACACTGTTTCATTGACCAAAATGGGGAGATTTTCTGCTATCTCCTGAGCTCTCTTCAGACTGAAAACTGCTGCTCGTGGTAACTTCAAGGCTGTCAGCCTGCTGTTGGAGGAGGCATACTGCTACCAGCTGTGAGTGGTGGTGCTTGAGTGAGAGCAAGGCTGCACCTGGGTGAGAGGGTCACCCTCCCTAGTAAGGAGGTCTTCCCCGAGACCAGCGACATCTGTGCAGTCCTGGCAGCACTGGCTGGAACCAGGACCACGTCATCTTGGAGATTCTGTTCAAAGGGGTTTCAGCTAGCTGTGTCCTGTGGGGCCGGCGTGGCCTCCTCCCAATTGAGTTAGTAGTGCTTGGCCCAGAGGAGTGGCTACCACACCTACTGCTGTCCCAGTAAAGCCAGAATCCCCAGACTGGGCCCTGTATTAGTGCCCACCTGAGGCTCCTCGGCCCTGGGGACAGCCCAGGGACCTGGAATCAGTTCTGCCTATACCTGCTTAGTGGCCTTCATGGGCCAAGAGTAGTGCTGCAGGGTCTGAGGCCATCCAGGGTGCCCCAGGGCCCCAGGTGCCATGAATGTGGGGTGCTGGTGGCATGCTTTACTGAAGGATTGTTGCTGTGACCCAAAGATGCCTTAGTGGGAATTCTGCCACCAGTTTCCCAGCGGCTGGGCTCCCCAGCCCCAGGCAGTGTCCTCCAAGGCCCTGGGGCCCATAATGGCCAGGTCAGCGGAGCCTCCCCAGCCCACTGCAGAGGAGCTCTTCACCCTTCCCCATACACAGCAGACTCCGTCCATCTCTGATGCACGGAGACTCTAGTGGGTCTCCGTGCATCAGAGATGGCTTATTTTTCTGCAGTATTTAAACTAGAAGTAACTATAACTGCACAAGCCGGAGATGCGGACAAGAACCAACATTTTTTTATCTGGTGCTCCATTCTCAGTCAGACATGCAGCATGTCCACCCCCAGGGTGGGAGAGCTGCTGGACACCCTGGTCCAGGTGCCCATCAAATAGGGCTTAGAGAGATCTGGTCCCTCTCTAAGGGTGTGGGGAAAGCAATACTGTAGGAGTTGAAACAGGGTCCCTAGGGAGCACTGCTGCTGGGAGGTGGGGGATGGGTGGCTGTGGAACTACTTCACCTTTACTGCTACCTGGAACACAGGCCACACTTGGTGGGTCACCTGACCTACTAATGTCCCAGGGCTTCCAGTCCGTTTTGTGTGTCCTCACATCTGGACTCCTGGAGAAGTATCTCCCCATCCAGACCAGCCACAGGGCCACACGGCATCCTTACCTCAGGAAGGGGCCCCATAGTGAAGGCCCACCTGTCAGCAACATCTTCTGGGTACCCATCTCAGGAAGCTGTCCCCAGCTCTGATGTTCCCACACTAATATGCACACTAAATTTTTAAAACAGGTTTTATTTATTTATTTGTGGAGAGCATGGAAGGGAGGGAGAGAAACAGGGAGAGAAACATCAATTGGTTGTCTGTTGTATGCATCCCAACTGGGGATTGAACCTGCAACCCAGGCATATTCCCTGACCAGGAGTCGAATCAGTGACATTTTGCTTTTGCTTTGTGGAACAATGCTCATTGTTATAGTAGCCTGAGGGGGACCCTGTCCTGCAGTGTCCCCCAGCATTTTGGATGAAATAAGACTGCCAAGACAAGATCTGCTTGGGGAGAAAAGGCTGGCTAATCTCTCAGAGAAGAGCCCTGAGCACCTTTTTCCTTGGGCTTTTTTTGAGTTTAGCTTGTATAGGAATACATATCAAAGAAAGGACATATGGTTTACAAATAATATTTCTGGGATCTGAGGGTCTTTTTGAGTCAGGGTCTGGTAGACAGAGTGATGCCAATTGGCCATAAAACCTGGGGAAATAAATTCATTTTGTGCTTGGACCCTAAACATTTAGTATGCAGAGCTTGAGAGCATTCTTAGCAAAGCAGGTTTTACAGGATTTAATGCATTCTTTCTCTGGCCTGATTACCCCTGGAAACCACCCATTCCAGTGCAGGGCTGCACCCCCTAAAGGCATTATTTCAGGTCTGAGTCAGGCGGGGAAAGCAAGGCAGCCAAACATCAGGAGAGTTTTTACAGATAGGATGAGGACTCAGGCTATAACAAAGCCTAGGGGTGAAGTTTCCTCACCCCTTCTCTAAAGTCCCCTAAGTCCTTCCCTGATGGTCCCTTCACAACTGTGCCTGTCTTAGGTTGTTCCTCCCTTGGGGAATCTTACCCATTGTTGGCTAACCAGTCATCTGCTTGGGCCAAGCAGGGGGATATGATAGAGGGGATAGGTTTTTGTCTCCTTAGCAGCTTATGTCCCTAGGGCTTTTTTTTCTATTCAGCCTTAGCTGTGGGAGGCTACATCTCCTGAAACCAAGCAGGGTGGTTCCCAACACTAGCCTACTGATGAGACCTGGACATGGGTATACCTTGGACTCAGATTCCAACAAGGAGTGGCCTCAAGGGGTCCCCATAGACCTGCTGCCTGTTAGATGACAGGCCCAAGGATGGACACCCAGCCTTGTCATACTTGACTGAGCCCTGAGAAACCACAGACAACTCCTCAGTGGGTAGAGCACTCACCTGGTATTGCCCTGCATATAATACCTGTGGACTTGTATATGACTCCTTTAATATTATAAAGATGCTGATGTACAATTGTTGTGTTTGTGTAAACCCATTATGTTCTTTGTCATGTTCATGCCGTAAACAAGGCTGTAAAGAAAAAAAAACAGCTTCATGAAATTTGGGGGTAGAATAGTCTATTAGATTATACATAAGAGGGATCAGCAAACTATATACCAGCAGGCCCACTCTGGCCCACCACCTGCTTTTATAACTAAGGTTTATTGGGACACAGTCATGCTCCTCTATGTATCATTAGCTGTGGCTGCTTGTGCCTGTCAATGGCAGAGTAACTGTGTCAGAGACTGTATGGTCCACAACTGAAAATGTGTTATCAGACTTGACCAAAATAAAATGTGCTGACCTCTGAGGTAGAGCATGAATCAAAATAGTTACTTTGGCCAAAGTAAAGTAAAATTTTTCTTGTGCAGAAAAACATGTTTTCAGTGACTTATGGATGTATGTTTTGCTTTGTTTTTGCAGGGTCACCACCCAACTCTGGGGGAACATCCAAAGTTTACCAACTACTCTTTTGATGTAGAAGAATTTATGTACCTTGTCCTTCAGGCTGCAGACCACATATTGCAACACCCAAAGTGGCCATTTAAGAAAAAACATGATGAGTTGTGAATGTGCTCAGTCTGTTTGCAGAAAGCGGGTGTTTGAGCCCTGCCACTCCCAATTTAGTCAGTAAAACAAATGGTATTTCTTAGCCCTCAAATGATCTGTTCTATACCAAAATATGCCTTCAGGAGATTGCTTATAGGTTTTTTACTGTTTCATGTGATTTTTGTGTCATTGCTATTTATCAAGATACTCTTTTTGTACTGAAAACTTTTACTTTTTGTAGCTCAAAAATTGGTCATGGTCTCACTGAGTAACTGAGCTTTCCTCTTAAGTAGTCAACTTTCTTAGCTTTAGAATTTGTAAATGTTTTTGTAGAATACAATGGGATTGTTCATTCCAGAGACTTTCAACTTGTTTATGATATATTTAAGTAAGTTCACAACAGCTTCTATTTGCCATAATTTATTCATAGCACTGTTTGTGGTAGGAAAGGAAGACATGCAACAAACACACACAGTTTTTGATTCTCAGTACCAAGCTATAGGATCAAGTAGTAGATCGAACGGTGCTATAACCAGATCCTTTTTTACTCTATCAGAGTCCAAATTAGCTCCCACTGAATTCTCTGCTGTATATTTTCAGTTGAAGGCAGCTTATAGAATCAAGAGCCTGAATGAATCATGCTGCTATATTCATATGTATTCACATATTTCATATGCAAATCAGTTTCCCCCAATGCACTACATATGATAAAGACAAATTAGAATATTCTTTAGGACTGTTCTGTGTACCTTTTAGCTGGTTTGCACTGGCTCCTTAGCTGTGGAGAGCACTTCTGTATCAAACCATGGCCTCCAGTGTGTGCACTTGCTGCTGCAGTGTCTGTGCATTCACCCACCTCTTTCACATACAGGCATGGCAGTGTTTTTGCAAACTTTAGATTAGCTATGTAAGAAGAATTGCTGCGGTCCAGCCGCAGCTAGGTCCAGGGTTTCCTGAAAGGTGGGTAAGGCGTCAGCGATGGGAGACAGACGACAACACGCCTCAGAGGACAGTGATGCTCTGTTCCGTTTATTGCAAGTACAAGCAGGTTTTTATACTTTCATTTTTAGCAGTGATTGACATTTGCGATTAGGTAAAGCAGAAAAAAATTAATACAAAGGTAACCAGGAAAAGTACAAAAATTCCCATAGATTCAGTTATATTAAACAAAGATTATTTTAACCAGGAGAGCCATAAATCAGACAATTAGAAAAAGCTGTACGTACAAAGTTTGAATGTCTTATTGTTTATTAAAGTTCTCAGAATTTGTCATGGGACAAAAGGATACGCTAAATTGAATAGAGGTTATAGGAAATTTATTATAAGGCCTTTGTAATATCTAACTTACCTATTTACTTTTTCTGTCTAAAATATTTCTCTATGTACCATGGACTCTAACTCCCTGGTAACTGTTTCTACGTGCTTAATTTATAATAGTTAACCAGCTTTTCTTATTTCTTTGCCTGTCTAATTCTACTTGGTATATATTCCCATTCAAGGTAAAGGCGGGGCTGTTACTCCAACAACTTTTAGACATTCAGGGGCTATTTCATTAGAGGGGATTTTATTCTCTGGTCAAGAAATTATTTTATACAACTTCATTGGAATTATGCAAATCAATAAACCTGAGATACAGATATCTGACAATCCCACCACCTTTTAATCTCCAAAACAAACATGTAAGGAGAGATAAACATGAAATTCAGCTACAATAAACCCTTTTTATTCCTTAATTAATAAACACCAGGGAGGTCTGCTTTGAGCTAGCCTTTCCATGAAATTTAGACTATTATAAGGCACTTGAACTTCATCCTTATTGACCATTATAATGCCACCCTCATTGTATGCTCCTGTATAAGGCAATGGGAGATCTGGAACCCTCTGGAGACTATTAGCTCCTTTTGGGGGATACCATAATTTTCTAATAATCTAATATGCTACCCAGGGGTATCTTTGGGTTGTGGGTATGGGTCTATATAGTTTTTTCTCATTTTCTAGAAAGACTCTTTGTATCTATAAGGAACAGGCGTGGGAAAGTCCACCAATAATTCAACCTATTGTAACTGATTTATGAATTCTTTTATGGGAACAATTGGGGATAATTTCTTACTCAGGTTTATAAACACCTTATTTAAAACAATCTGGGCATGATTCAATAGTCTTGGGAGAACTAGTTGTCCCTTCAGAATTTCCCTCAAAATCAATCATTGACTCTTTTCGAGCCTCTTTCTTCTCATGGCCTGTTCTTATGGGAATCAGGGTACAAAGTAAGACCATGATTAATATTAGCAAGGAAATTATTAAAAGCAATCCCCAGAAAAATTACCACCCCCCTTTGTATGCCATGCTCTCTTCCAGGAAGATGGATTCCTTGAATGCCCTCTTTCCATGTTCAGACCTTGTCAAAAAACATGGTTGGAAGAGGGCCTGGCATTGTTTCCCTAAAGGACATGTGCATAATCCATTTCAAAATGAAAGCCATAAGGAAGTACTATTTATTGAATACCTGAAATGTAGCCCACTCTTTGAATGGGATTCATGTCTTACTGTTTATCAACTTTCTATTTTGCAGTCAAAAATCATGGATTTATTTCACTGCAAAAAGATGTTAACATTTTAACACTTGACTAGTCTAATTTAGAGATTAGGGACTTCTAGTTTTTTAAAGCCCACTCTTAAAAATTAGCAGATTACAGCAGAGCTAAGAATTTTTTTTTTTACATTTTAGAGTTTTGTTTTTTAAAGGAGAATGTGTAACAGAGAAGTGACCCAAGAAACCTATAATAGTTATTATCTGGACCTTCACAGAACAAGTTTGCTGCCCTTGCTTTAAAAGGATTATGAACAATCTTCTAGAGTTTAGGAATATTTGTTAAAATGTTTGCAAAAAAATATATAGTGAATCAGTATAGCAATAGCTTTCATTTGGATCTTGAAATTGTGAAAAAACAGGGACAACATATGAATTTTAAATGAGTGGTATTGCTACTGCTCTTTGTGCAGAATACTGAGTACCTGGTGGGAAAGTATGCATATGAAAGAAATGGTCAAGACAGCATTGCACTTTTAGTGAGAGATGTAAACAGTTGAAAAGATTATTTTCTTACCTCATTTTAAGAAGTGTGTGGAAATGTAATTCAATTTACTTGCTAGTAATAGACATGATATTTTGCATTTAAAGAGAATATGTTTTATATAAAGAAAGTATAGTTGATACTTTATGGAATTAATTTTTATCAGAATTTTATGGTAGCAAAAGAAGTCTTCAAATATTATAAAATTTACAGTGTAAATCCTGCTCTTTTCATTAAGTCTTTAAAAGATGTATTTCATAGTTTGTACATTTGGGGTATGGCTTTGTAATACATTTTTATATTTTATTTGAATACCAGACACTTTCAAGGTTTTCTGTGTCTGAATGTTATATGTTTACTTTTTGGGAATCTGGTAGCTCTAGATTATAAAAATTAAGTAGCTCACTGATGAAGAATTCAGGTTAAATAAAAATTACACCCTATCTTTATTTAGCAGTTTATTATATGATGCTTTCACAAATGTATTGCATAATCCTTACAAAAATGACATAAGAATTGTTCCCATTTTTCTTTTGAAGACAAGCAGATGTTGTTCAAGGGACTTCCCTAAAGATCACAGGTCTTTTGAGTGCCCACCCATAGTCTTTCTTTCTCACATTTATTCATTCACATGCTCACTAAATACAGATTGATTGTGGAGCAACTATGTACCGGCTACTGTTCTTGGTTATGGGGACACCAGTGTAAAGAGCAGGAAGGAAAGTCATTGCGCTCATGGAGTTTGCATTCTGGGGGAGAAGACTGATAATAAACAACATCAATAAGTAAATGTGCTCTCTGTGAGATCCTGATATAAACCACTGAGGAAACTCATTAGGAACGAAGGGTGTGAGCTCTGGGGTAGAGTGGAATTGGATAGACTTAAGTGGAGGTTCAGGGAAGTCCTCACCAAGGCAACGTTTAAGATAAGATTTGAAGTTGGTGAGGGAGGAAGCAATGCTGACAACTGGGCGAAGCACGTTCCAGGGAGACAGAAGAGTACCAGCAAAGACCCTGAGGCAGGGGCATTCCCAGCATGTTGGAGGAACAGCAAGAAAGCCAGTGCAGCTGGAGTGATTAAGGGCCAAGGAGTAGAAGATGAGGTCCAGAAGGTAATGGGTGTGGGGTACCCAAGCCAAGGTTTTGATTCTGATGAAATGAGAACCCTTGAAGGGATCTCAACAAAGGAGTGATGATCTTACTTTGAACAGGGCCCTCTAGCTGTTATGTTGGGAATATACTGCAGAGAAATGTTCTCTGGAAAACAGTTTCTGGGATGGAGATTTGTATGCAGTTCATTTATTGGGAGAGGTGCTTATGATTACAACTAACCAACCTGTGAGTTAGTAAGGGGCCCAGGCTTGGGCGAAGGGAGAAATTGAATTGCCATACAGTAGCAGGTGAGGCCTCAGCAGGGGAGATGTAGAGTGAGGTGGTCCCCAAATAAGGTGGGAGTTACTCGTATCAACGAATCTTCTAATATAGCCATCCCTACAGAGGGCTGTGATCTGGGGCAGGTAGTCAGTCGCCTTTAGCTGAGGGCAATTCCTTTGGAAGAGCCATCATCAGCCAACATCCTCAGCACTCAGGGACGGAGGGGATCCTGGTGCCCCACTGCAGCATCCACTAGAGGGGAAGGGTGGTGCCATTCAGCTTGTTGCATCTCCCTTCTAATGTCTGTCAACTGAAAGACCCAAGTCTTCACTGAAGTTAGGATGTATTTGTTTTACAGATGATGCCATGCACTTTATAGTGTAGAGGATTAGACCTGGCTTTGTGGCTACATGTTCTCTCTCCCATGTTATTACTTGTTGCCCCCATCTTTAAAAATGTAAAATTTATTCTTCTACTAGTGTAACTGGAAAAGACACCGGCGTTCGGGCTGCCTGTCACTACCAAATCCAATAAGCAATGACAGTGATTGAATCTTTTATGGGCGCTTTATTCAGATGGCTGGCGATCCAAGAAGATGGCGGGTTCATACCCTAACAAACCATCTTGCTCTCTCTTTCCCAGCCAGATCTTTTATAAGGGGTTGGGGGAGGGCAAACAGGAGTTAGTGAGAGTCTTTGAAATTCCAAGGGGAGGGGTAGTGACCTGGTAGGGATGTCTCCAGGTGGTGGTATCTTTAGCCAGCACTCCAGGTCAGTTTTTTTTTCCCTCAGGCACCAGATGGGCCTTATCTGTGGTTTCTGAAACAAAAAACTTAACATATACATTACTTGCTAGATTTATGGCTATTTACCTTAAGCTAAAATTTTCCAAGTTTTGAGTCCCCTATCATTCCCCACCATTAGTATTAAACTATCTCATTTCTATGAGATCAGCTTCCTATGGAAGTATTCACTTTGTTGCCATGCCTGTTGCTGGACACTCGATTGTTCAGTGGGGGTTTTAGGAACACACGAAACTGCGGACTTACATAAGGGGGCAAACTGTATGCAACAACAAGCTATGATACTGAAGAAAATGACAAGGATGAAAACAATAAAAGCTTCTCGAAGACCAGATATGCTGGGCAGCCAGGAGTTTAGGTTAGACCAATCAATGCCAAAGAATCCTTCCCCCTGTTTTATATTGGACACCACATCATTTATTTGCTTTACTTTATTCTGCTGTGATGAATCTAAGGTTTTATTCCTGCCAGCTTCACTGCAGTTGGGGTGGTGAAGAGTATATCCCAAGGTCCAGTCCACTTTTCTTCTAGTTGATTTTCTGGGGATCCTGTCCTCCAAATCTTGAGCAGCACCTTATCTCCTGATTTAAACGAATGCAGTGGACCTATGGGAGAGAAGTCCCTAATACAGGCAAAGTTAATCATCACAGCTAAGGTCTGATTTAAATATTGCACACATTTTTTTTTCTTACCTTCAGATTTTTATCTATATACATATCTTTCACCCCAATTGTGACCTGAAATGGCCATCTGTACACAATTTTATAGGGACTCAACTGAATCCCACTTTGAGGAGCCACCTTT